CGGAGAAGCTCTCGAGCGCCGCGGGGCACTCCTGTTGGGCAAAATACACACGCAGGACATGGTTTTGGAGGTTGAACTCCGGGACGACGGCGGTGCGGGTGCAGAAGATGGGTCGCGTCTTGAGTCGATGCAGGAGGAGCATAAACTTCTCCTCGTCGAAGTTTGCCCGGACGGGGCTAATGTCTATATAGAACAGAACATCAAGAGAGTTACCTTCACGGTTCGGAGGCATGACAGGATACTGTTTGCCCAGAATAGACACAGACAAACCCTGCATGCGGGCCTTCGTGTCGGCATCGGTAACAGAAATAACCAAATCACGACCGGCACGGTTGGCTTGGACAAAATTGACCAGAAGCGGACCAATCGCAGTTGATTGATTTTCGTTCACGATGGCTTCCAGGATACGACCGGAGCCCATCTGAGCGAGCGCGTTCTCCGTAGCAACCCACACGTAATCGGTGGCTTGCTTGGGTTTACACGGACGAGCATCCACGATGGCACTCCAAAGCGTAGCGAACGCCTCAGGAGTGTCATTGGCTTGGGCCATGGTAACAAGGCGATGAACGGCGTCGTTGGAGGGGAGATTGAGAGCACTCTTGTGCCGCTGCCCCTTGGCCTCGGCATGCAATGAACGTAGCATGGAGGCGTATGACGCCGCAGGTGGTGTCGTTGAGGTCGACGAGGCAACAGGAGGGAAGACGGCGGAGCCGGGGTAAGGGGGGACATGGGAGGGGCGACCGGGAGGGGGTACATCGGTCGGGGAGTTTCGTGGTGCAAACGACGTTGCTGGGCCTTCGGTGCCTGCCGCGGGAGGACTGTCCAGAGGGGAGCCAGGGCGACCGGGGCCGGTTGCTACAGCCTGCACGAGGCCATCGGTGCTGGGTTCCGGGTCCGAGACGTTCGACACGGCAGTTCCGGTGGTGCCGGAGCAAGGCTGCTGCGAGCCCGGGTCGGAAGAGGTTGGTGCGGTGGAGACGGGCGGTGTCGACGCCGACGTAGTGGCGGTGTCCGAAGTCTGAGAGCGTCGCTGCGGGCTCGTCGGGGTTGATCCCAGGCGGGCCCTCGTCCACAGGTGGTCGTTGGCGCAGCAGGCGGGGTGGTGCCTTCGTGTTGCTACGGGTGCCGTAGGCGCTGGTGGCGACGGGAGCGGTGGAACGGGTGGAGGACATCAGCGTTCGGATGACTATTATTTAACCGGATGCGTGGTACAGGGTAAATTGGAAAGTCATGACAGCTTGGCCGAGTGTTCAAAGGATATATTATAGAATATACCCATCCTATCCAATATACCTGGAGCATTGGATATTTTCACTCTGAAAGGGGATAAATAGATTGTGGGCGGTTTGGGGGACGGCAGTCGTGGTGCGGTGGCCGGAATTGCAGCGGCGGTGGGGTGGCAGACATGACAACCGCGGCAGTGGTGACGGCGACGATGTCGGTGGCCGTGGCGTAGTTTGGCAAGGTGTTGACGACTGTGGCGTCGGCGGCGGTCGCGGTGGCAGTCGTGGCGTTGACGGCCGTTGTTGCGGCTGGTGACGCGAGGCAGGCACAACGGTGGTGGCAGTGTTGGCTGCGATGGTGTCGGCAGCCCTGGCGTTGGCCGGCATGATGTTTGACTACCGTGGTATCGGCGGCAATGGCGTTGGCCGT